CTGAGGAAATACTACAACTTTGCGCTGTCGATCGCCGGATCGGCTTTCATCGTGGACGATGCGGAGTCCAGCCCGGAGTCGTCACATGTCCTTCCGGATGCTCCTTCGTCGAAATCGCCGACCGCGCCGTTCTCAAGCCCACCCGCCTCTGCTCACTCTAAGCCTCCCGCCTCATGCTAGCCCCCGGCCTCTGCTCACTGTAGGCCGCCTTGTGTGATGCTGTGTTTCGTTGTGAAAGCGAAACTACTTTGTTTGGCCTTCCAAAAATGGACACGACTAGAAATCAGTGGTTAAGTTGTATTTACAACACTGTTACAGAACACTTCAACCCAAATATTCAGATGTGTGCAGCACATTTTATGGAGGACTGTTTCCTGATGCTGGTAGAGTAGACTACAATGCCGGCTGTTCTGACTCAAAGACTGTAAGTACCTTTTTTATATTTAAAGAGTTTTTATATTGTATATATTTAAAGCGAGTTTTTTTGGGCAGTGTAGAGTAGGGCTTGTTGTTTGTCATTTCTCCGATCACAAATGCAGACATGGTTTTATGTCTACGCGGCGCGATGCAACGCAACACGTAAAAAGACAGTATAAGTAATTAAAATCCATAAATACTGTATGTCCCCAGTGGATGCAACGAATGCCTCGTTTATAATGGGTTTTCATGTTTTTGAATCATCGCCCCGGCCTGACAGGGCATCATCACAATATGGTGAGGGGCGTAACATTTCCGTCACACGCTTGAGGTATTCGGCCAATCACAACACACTGGTTAGCTGGCCAATCACAGCACACCTCGCTTTTTCAGACCGATGAACTTTATAAAAATCGACGTGTTTCAGAAAGGCGGGGCATAGAGGAGAAACAATAATGTACAGTATGTGGAAAATAATGTGTTTTTTTAACCTTAAACCACATAAACACATTTCATTACACCAAATACACCAAATACTGTTCTTTTTAGCAGCATCATATGACCCCTTTAAACTTTCTCTAATGTCTGTCAGTGCTCTGTGCACAAGGTTTAAATGAGTGTGTGCAAGAATATTCATCATCTGATCGGACATGGCTCTAGGATAAAGAATATAAGATGACTCATTTCTATCAGGAACAAAGACAAATTGCAAATGATTTTATCAAACAATGATCAAGGTCTTCTATGAATTTCCTGTATAGATATCAAACACAGGATGACAATAAACCACTAATGGACGAGTTGCTCAAAACTGTGATGGCTTTTGACATTTCAGGATGTGTTTTGAGCATTATTTGACAAATGAATTCAGTTTTGTGGTCATAGAAATTTTAATGGCATTAAAACAAAAACCTTTCAGAGAATCTCCATTTAAAGATCTACTCAAGTAAACCTGTCGAGAGGGCATTTATATGTTCAGCGTATTAAAAAACAAAACAAACACAAGTGTAGTCAGGAGCTTTGTTGGATTTTCACGTTCCAACTTTGCTTGACGAACTCAAGTTGACACACTTGTTTTAAAATTGGCTTCCAGATTCGCCTTCACAGATGGAAGGAAAGCACCATTGTAACAGGAAAAGCTTCACGAATATTCAAACATATGGCACGACAGACCAAAATAATTATCAGTGTTCTCTTGCACTTCCCCCATGGCATTTTCAAGAGGCCGTTATAACTGAACATGGGGACTTTCTTTATGGATGTTTATGGAATATGACACTTGAGAATAACGGTTCTCGTTTGAGCCATATGCGTGTTCTGCTCTAGTTGGTTAGTGGTAATGTGTGTAATGAGTTTTGCGCTGGGCATATGGACAGGAACGAGGTGGACGTTGTGACCTTGTAACATAAACCAAGGAGAATTTTATATATTTGTATTCAGTCTGAAAGGCATAGTTCACACAAACATACAAATACTGTCTTTATTTACTCACCCTCATTTCATTTCAAACCATTTTGGAACTGTGGAACACAAAAGGGGAAATACAGAAAAATCGATTTGTTGCAAGAGTGGGAACCAATGATGTGTGTCATGATGTCAAATCTGGTTCAATCCGTCTAGAAGACGTGAGGGAGTAAATGATGCCGAAATGTTAATTTTTAAACTGAAACTTTAAATGAATTGCAGCTGTAATGGACCGTGTAATCATGTGTATTCATGACAGTAAACAATATATATTATTTTATTGTACTGTTTTAATATTTATTTGTGACCCTGGACCACAAAACCAGTCATAAGGGTCCATTTTTTTTTTATTGAGATTTATGCATCATCTGAAAGCAGAATAAATAAGCTTTCCATTGATGTATGGATGTATATGACAATATTTGACTGAGATACAACTATTTGAAAATCTGAAATCTGATGTGCAAAAAAATCAAAATACTGAGAAAATCGCCTTTAAAGTTGTCCAAATGAAGTCCTTAGCAATGCATATTACTAATCAAAAATTACGTTTTGATATATTTACGGTAGGAAATTGACAAAATATCTTCATGGAACATGATCTTTACTTAATATCCTAATGATTTTTGGCATAAAAGAAAAATCTATAATTTTGACCCATGCAATGTATTTTTGGCTATTGCTACAAATATACTCGTGCGACTTAAGACTGGTTTTGTGCTCCAGGGTCACATTGAATTTTTTTTTTTTTTTTTTTAAATCAGAGATTAATTTAAATTTTAATGGTTCAAAATTAGTAAAGTGAAGTAAAGAAGTCTCTTTTTCTGCATTTATTAGAAAATGCCATACAAAATTGTGAATTATTACAATTAAAATAGCTGTTTTATATTTTAATAGAATGCACATTTATTCCTGTGATGCAAATAATTTTTTGTAGAGTCACACGATCTTTCAGAAATCATTCTAAAATGCTGATTTGAAACACATCTCATTTAATGTAGTTAAATTGTTCTCTGATTAATATTTTGTCAAATCTGTGATTTTTTTTTTTCAGGATTCTTTGATGAATAAAAGGCTCACAAGAACAGAATTTATTTGAGATCTTTTGTAACATTATATTTACTATCACTTATCATCAATTTAATGCATCCTTGCTGAATAACAGTATTAATATCTGAATAATAATACTAATTTAATCAAAATCATAAAATGAGTGAGAAAAAAAAATACAGTAAATCTCAAAAGAGCATTAGAGGTAAAGGCATTGTCTTTTTTTTTTTAAACCTGAGTCTTTGATCCTTGTAATCCTCTAATCCTGTTTAATGGTTGTTTGTATCACTAATGCTCTGTTTCCTGTTCTTCAGGCGACAGGGGTGAAATCAGAGCAGCTGTTGGTCACTGTGTTGCCTGGACTGCCAACAGCAGCCGAGTTCTTTCTGTTACCAGACATACGGCTGACAGAGGGGAAACCAGACAAAACAGCTACTCATTTAGACCAGGTACTGGACATAACCCTCATCTTACATTATGCATGATTTTCAATCTCAGTTGTGAAACACTCAGCTATAATTAATGTTTTGCTTTACTTTTGTCTCTTATTCAAGGAGAAAAGGCTCAGATATTCAAATGCTATTTTCAAATTCCTTTCAAATACAAAAGGATGGTGGGGAAAAGGAGGATCTTGACAAGAGTTTCTTATGGTCTCCAGCAGATGTCAATGTTGGCCTGTTTAACTCTTGACAAAAACTTGTTTTTACGAGTTCACACAGATTTTTCTTGATCAAGACAATCTCTCATTTTCTCCTGAAATGAAATACTTGGTTAAAAGACAAGCACATAAATACACTTTCATAAGCAACTTCAGAAAAAGTGGCTTTCTGATTAGATCTCAAAGCTTAATGAGATACGTTTCTTTTAACTCACTTGTGAGGTAGTGGGGTGAATTGTTAGGTCATTGCTAATTCTGGCCATTCCGCAGTGCATTTGGCCATACCAGAGAACAGCCATTATCGAATATGAGAAGATGCCTCATATCCTCCAATATTAACATGCAGAGTCATCTATATTTTTGAGGCAGTGATTTCTCATCATACATACTATAGAGGAGGTCATTAGTAATCCATCCACTAGATCATTCAGTTCTCTATTTGCTTATGGGCCAGATATATTATATCACAGATGATAGGGGGATATCTGCACTTTGTGGATGTCCATGCATGGGTGCCTAAGCAGCACCTTTTGAGCTTTTTTTTTTTTTCTCGCCCAAACCTTCTTTGAATCTGCAATGGGCCTTTCACTGCAGATCCTCATAAATCTCTGTTCGAGGGTGGGATGTTCAAAGTATAATGTGTAGATAGCCTTATTAAAAAAGTATAATAGACTGACTGACCCTGGTTCCATAAAGAAAGTAATTATTCATAGTATGGTCTAATTTTAAAAGGGTGAGAAATAAGGACAGAGAGAGACAGAAGGTGAGAGCGACGGAGAAATAAAGGAGCACAGAAATAAGTCAGGAGTCATTTAGTAAATGAGACAGATTTAATGAAACGTGGGTTGAAAGAGGGAAAAAGGGGATGCCTTGAAGGGGAAATAGTTTTGTGAGAGGTTTAGCACCATCATCACTGAACTCAGATCTGATGCCCAAGATGTTTATGAAAAAAAAAAAAAAACCTCAAACGCTTATGTAAAAAAAAAAAACCTTAAACAGTGACTAGATGGTGTCTACATTTCAATGAGCTAATATACTGTAGTTCATGGGTGTTGCTAGGCCATTTTTAGGGGGGGCTATAGTTGCTCCCCCCCCCCTCGTTTCAGCGCGTTCTTTTTTTTTGTGAGAGGTTTAGCACCATCATCACTGAACTCAGATCTGATGCCCAAGATGTTTATGAAAAAAAAAAAAAACCTCTTAAACGCTTATGTAAAAAAAAAAAACCTTAAACAGTGACTAGATGGTGTCTACATTTCAATGAGCTAATATACTGTAGTTCATGGGTGTTGCTAGGCCATTTTTAGGGGGGGCTATAGTTGCTCCCCCCAATCCGCAGACCGCAGCGGCCCAGAGCGAGTAACAGAGGACAAGGTGTGTGTTTATCGATAGATTGTTATAATATCTGCTTCTGTGCAGTTCTTTGTCATAAATACAGTTTACTACTGATGGGAAACTGAGGCTTTCTGAACCGTTTCATGCTTTCATGAAATTGTGCCGAAAAACGGTTTATTATTCAAAGCTTTTAACACAGTGCGCATTAGCCACATCTGGTGGTCAGACTTGGTTTCTCCACCAAATCTAACAAAACATTGCGGAGCAGAGGATGGTTTGAAAAAGTTTTTAATCTGTGCCAACTCGTGTCATGCGTAGTCCGGTCAACGGATTCACATATTGATCAATAATATAAAATATACAAGTGTGTGATTATAGTTAGTAGTGGTAGCAAAAATATTTTGGGTGAGCTGTTCGGGGTGTCCGAGACCCCAGCTATAAAACATGATAAAATGCAATAGAGGTGTGACATGCATTCAGTTTCTATCTGGTGTTGAGGTTATTCTAAACTATTCTACTGAATCCCAAATAAGTGTACACACACACAAACACACACGCACACACACACACACACACACACACACACACAACCAAGTCAATGTAAAGTCAAACAAGAGTCATGCAAAGCACAGATTTTTTCAAACCAGCTGTCCCGACCTTCCGATACTGCATGACGTTCAAAGTTTCAAACGTCATTTCACAGTGTGTGCTACAGTAGTGCTTTATAAACTCCATCGGAGCCTCGGTATCAATCGTCCCATCACTACAGTTTACAAAATATCATGGAGGAGCAATCGGTTCCCCATCTACTGTAGCCTAAGTTTTCACTGTGTTCACCCCTCATCACACCACAGGTTTCCTCCAGTGAAAATGAAGCACATATGAATGCATATACTTTATAAAACGATGTTGCCATTTTCATTTGAATATATCTATATACAGTATATAGTATACCCTCATTGGGGGCTGAGCCCCCTAAAATGAAAATCCTGGAATCGCCCCTGCTGTAGTTCTATACTTATTTTATTTTTCAAAAACTAGTAAAACATAATCATCAATATATATAAAATAAAATATATATCATATAATAAAATATATAACATAAAATATATATCATCAAACTAGAAGCATCTGTTCCAGAATGACCCTCAAAAACCCAATGTCCTAATCAAGCACAAAAACAAACAAAAAGAGGTTTTATTTTGGGAGGGAAATAACTATCTGCTTTCAAGATTTATGAATACATAAAAGAGTCTGACAGTCAAGAGCTCTTTGTGTGTTTGAGGAAGAGGAGAGAGATGTTAGGCCTAAATGAGATCCCTCCTATGTCATCTATCTATATTTGTGAGTGAAGGTGATAGAGTTGATTTATGCTGAAATGTCTTCTCAGTGTGATTCAGGCTCATGTACGACAAACAACATCACGAGCCCACTTCAACCAACAGTACAATGCATCAGGACTCACCTGGCTCAGAAACAGAGAAATCAAATACCTCTGGGACTCAAATATCTATGCGATTGTGTAATTTAATAACAGATTTTGGATGTATCATATACAAGGCAGCGTTTCCTTATCCAGTGTGGTATGAATACAATGAATATGATGATGTGATTTTTCCTTTCAGCTCTCAGAACTGGTTCTCAGTGCTCTGAATCAGAATCTGGTTCAGTTCACACTCAGACCAGGAGTCCAGATCACAGTATACGCTGCCCATTTATCAGCAGGTAATGAACTAGAATCAAAGACTATTGTTCTAGATATGAACGAGAGAAGAATTGCAATCGTTTACAACAGTTCATTGATTATGACAGATTTTAGATGAACAGTTCCTATAAGACATTGGTTGTATAATGATTTGTTTTACTGTATATTAAAAGGAGGGTTGGAGAGTTGCACTGACAGTTGTCTGTCTTAATTTCCCCTGTGTCTAGCGCCTTTAGTGGACACAAGTGACAATCACAGTGGCTCAGCTATGCTAATGCTCCTGTCTGTGGTGGTGGCGGGTTTAGCGGTGTTCCTCATCTATAAATTCAAAAGGTATTGTTATCCATTTTTTAAAACTTCAACCTGGATCATAATGCATATATTAGCAGTTAAAAATATGGTTAGCTTTGTAAATTGGTTAAATGTCTAGCGGCAAGAGCCTGGGGAAGCCTGGAAGATTACAAGTTATTTATAAAGTAGTCAAGACTCTGTACTGTTACTATCAAAAACCTACCTAGCCACATTGAATTGATTGATTGATTGATGATTGTTTTTTATTAATAAGGATAAATGTATATTTTTAAAGGAATAGTTCATCCAAAAATGAAAATTCTGTCATCATTGACTCACCCTCAAGTCGTTCCAAACCTGTACAAGTTTCTTTCTTCTGTTGAACACAAAAGAAGATATTCTGAAGAATATTGATGCTAGCCATTGACTTGCATAGTGTTTTTTTTTTCATACTAAGTCAATGGCTAGCATCAATAGTTTGGTTAACAACATTCTTCAAAATATCTTCTTTTGTGTTCAAAAGAAGAAAGAAACTCATACAGGTTTAGAATAACTTGAGGGTGAGTAAATGATGACAGAATTTTCATTTTGGGATGAACTATCCCTTTAAATATATAATTATGAGATTATTTGGTTCAGATTAATCTTTTCAAACCGAACAGTATTATCAGCATTATGATAGAATTAAACGGCATTCGTTAACTGAATATAATCTGTTTAACTTTTTTGTAATTAATTTTCTAGTTAATATAATAATAAATATTACCAATTACTTTGAATATTGTGACAAAAAAGCAGAGCAGATGTCTGTGCAAGGACTCAAATGAGGCAAAATCATTCTCACATCTCTGAGTTTAGGTGTTGTGGTTCAGTTTAGCTCACAAAACAACTTTAAACAGCGTAAACCACTGAGCGGATATGTCGAGTGGTGATTCACCCTTTTGCCATTGCAGAACCTTCTTCTTTTGTGTCTAAGCGCTCATAACAAATGAGAAATGTCAGTCAATGCACAGACATTATCAATATTTAGCCCTTTGAGTTTTTCAAGTTGACCTTTATGAAATGTTAAATGATTGCACCGTTTCTGTCATTGGGCCGAGAGAAAAGGGCACGAGAGGTCAATAAGACAAGATCTGGAGACAGGAGAGGGAGACAACAGAAGTGCCAAGAATTTTCTGATGCTTTAATACATAAGTCTGAGGCATTCTGTGACAACTACAGCCGGCAACATTTCACTTCTTTAAAATACATGAGGAACTTCCTGTTAAAAAGTTAGTTTACACAAAATTAATAATGAAAATCTGTTCTTTTCAGTGAGTCAGTTCACACAACTAGTCTGAATTTGTTCATGAATGACCGGCACTGTTGTAAACTCTGAATATAAGTGAATTATGGCCTAAATAGTGTACACATGGTATGGACTACTTTTATGGTGCATTTGCATCGTTTTTGAAGCTCAAAAGCCTCATCTCCCATGAGGACTAATTGCAGTCGCAGTACAGTAAGCTCTGAAGAAAAGCATCTGCCAAATGCATAGAAGTGAATGGGTTTAGAGTGACATGAGTGTGAGTAAATGGTAACAGAATTTGTTTCTTTTTGTGAACCGGTCCATTAATGAGGGTATTACATCTTAATGAGCTGTCCATGTGTGTTGTGGTTTCTTCTTGTTAAATCCCTCTCCAGTTGTATTTAGCACAATAGATTTGCTTTCAAATCCTCTTAGGCAATGCCGTGTTAAAGCTCTCTTCTGGTTTTTGTTTTTGTGAATTTTTTCCCCTCCGTAATGATGCAGACCAAGACGGATAAAATCACCTCTCTAAAGGGAGGCCTTGATTTCACAACTCCTAAGTTAGACTTTTCACATAGAGGTCTTTTTTTGCTTATTTCCTTGTCTTTTTACAACTTTTCCCTGAGGCAGATCCCAGACCTCGGCTTGTAAATGGACAGTACCGCACTTGCAAACTATAAACACATGCTTCCTGTGATAAACGACCAGAATGATGTGAACTGCAAAGCTGATAATGTCAGAGCCATCAGAACGTTCGGAAAAATGGTAGAAGCTTGGGTAACACTTTACTTGAAGGGGTGTGCATAAGACTGACATGACACCTTCATAATCATGACATGACACATGTCATGAATATGAAAGAGGTTTTATGCATGTTTATGACAACTGTCATTAAGTGTCATTCGCTTAGTTATGTCATTTTTAATGCAAATATGACATTATTTGACCTAACCCTACCCCTACCCTTACCCCTAACCATAGGCCATAACAAAGACATCTCAAACAATGTCATCTTTGCATTAAAAATTACATAACTGAGCGAATGACACTTAATGACAGTTGTCATAAACATGCATAAAAACCCTTCATATTCATGACATGTGTCATGTCATGATTATGTATGTGTCATGTCATGATTATGAAGGTGTCATGTCAGTCTTATGCACACCCCTTCAAGTAAAGTGTAACCGAATGTCTAAAGTGGACTATCGAAATAAAGTGTAACCATGATTTTTGGAGTGTTTTACAAGAAGATGTTATTTCAGTCATTCTACTTCTAAATTTCACATTTAATTCAGTGTGTTACTTGCCGTTTCTTTGTAACTAACTGTGAAATTTACTAGCAAGTTCTGAGGGGAAATTGTTTCTATGCCAGTTCTTTCAGTGTTGGCCTACTATCCTTAATTGTTCATTCATCTTCATTCATAATAATTCATTTCAAATTGAAATATTAAAATGTATTACTATATGTATTAATTCAAATTATTAACATTAACCAAGATTAAGAAATGCTAAAAAAAGTAGTTTTAACTCTTGCATTAAGTAATGTTAACATATAGAACATTGTTGCATTAAAACAACTGGTTCAATAGCCTATAAAGTTCTACATTCTAAATTAGCCAGGAGTCTGATTATTCAGTCTAGCTTCAGTTGTCAACAAAAGAGATGCATGTAAAAATCCATGTTATCCTAACAATAAATCAATCAATTCTGAATGTCTTGGAAATATATATGTTATGCTGCATTTCACTCAAAAAGTAACTTATCAGTTATCACACTACTGCTAACAATTATGTAAAGCTAAAATGCAAACTAGTTCAGTGATGTGATGCAAAACAATTTAAGTATAAATGAAGACAAGAATTAGAGACGCACATTTATTCACTTTAAGGACACTGAATTGAGTCACTTAAAATAAATTTATTTCATCATGTTAGAATGATACAAACAAATTGTTTTCTGAAAAAGAATTATTCGGAGGAAAAAAAGTGATATCAATTTGTGTGGAACCGATGATTAAATCAAGTCAATTCAGAACACCTTGTTTTCAATGCAACACATGTTTTTAGTGTTTATTGAGAGCACAGTTCATGTAACTTGTTCTTCCAGAGCTTTTCAAAGTGAAAACGGTGTCACACCAGAGATCTTTATAATATTGTTTTGTCCTGACAGCAGTGACTCTAAACTTCTCATATGGAGGAATCAGCACCTCTTTTATGTAAGGATACTGAGAATATTTTGTCAGCTCAGCACTTTCACAAGTTATGATTTCAAAACAAGATTTAGTTCCAAAACCTTGCGTTACTTTAAGACTGAGAGAGGAAGACGTAAATGAGCCGAAACGAATCTCTTTGTTCAGAACATACTTATCAAAATTAGCTGTAGTACCACGATACGTTACATAGCATTTATTTTGTTGTTTCTTCAGAATCTGTATCGCTTCCGTTAACAGAAAGTGAAGTGAATACCATGAGAATGTCTTGTGTTTGTACTGTTTTCTACCGTAACGAGTGTCATCGTTAAACTGACGATATATATATTTACCGGTGTACACATGAAGAGCGACTAAATGATTCCTTGTTAAATGATCTTTTGGAAACTTGACAAACTTTTCACTGTTTTGCCAATAATATTTGAATTTGGCTGAGTTTTTCATTTCCTTCTCTAGATATTTTGTCTTCACCAGATGTGCCATTTTCCCCTTACAGCCCATATATTGATCATCAACTGAATTCGGTGCCATATCCAGTGGAAATATCTGTTCTGAAACAGCAGCAGCTCTGTGATCCTGCAGCAACAGGAATCATAATGATCAATCATCAGTATTCAAACGCTTATGTAAAAAAAAAAAACCTTAAACAGTGACTAGATGGTGTCTACATTTCAATGAGCTAATATACTGTAGTTCATGGGTGTTGCTAGGCCATTTTTAGGGGGGGCTATAGTTGCCCCCCCCCCCCTCGTTTCAGCGCGTTCTTTTTAGACCGCAGCACCGCAGCGGCCCAGAGCGAGTAACAGAGGACAAGGTGTGTGTTTATCGATAGATTGTTATAATATCTGCAGTTCTTTGTTGTGCAGTTCTTTGTCATAAATACAGTTTACTACTGATGGGAAACTGAGGCTTTCTGAACCGTTTCATGCTTTCATGAAATTGTGCCGAAAAACGGTTTATTATTCAAAGCTTTTAACACAGTGCGCATTAGCCACATCTGGTGGTCAGACTTGGTTTCTCCACCAAATCTAACAAAACATTGCGGAGCAGAGGATGGTTTGAAAAAGTTTTTAATCTGTGCCAACTCGTGTCATGCGTAGTCCGGTCAACGGATTCACATATTGATCAATAATATAAAATATACAAGTGTGTGATTATAGTTAGTAGTGGTAGCAAAAATATTTTGGGTGAGCTGTTCGGGGTGTCCGAGACCCCAGCTATAAAACATGATAAAATGCAATAGAGGTGTGACATGCATTCAGTTTCTATCTGGTGTTGAGGTTATTCTAAACTATTCTACTGAATCCCAAATAAGTGTACACACACACAAACACACACGCACACACACACACACACACACACACAACCAAGTCAATGTAAAGTCAAACAAGAGTCATGCAAAGCACAGATTTTTTCAAACCAGCTGTCCCGACCTTCCGATACTGCATGACGTTCAAAGTTTCAAACGTCATTTCACAGTGTGTGCTACAGTAGTGCTTTATAAACTCCATCGGAGCCTCGGTATCAATCGTCCCATCACTACAGTTTACAAAATATCATGGAGGAGCAATCGGTTCCCCATCTACTGTAGCCTAAGTTTTCACTGTGTTCACCCCTCATCACACCACAGGTTTCCTCCAGTGAAAATGAAGCACATATGAATGCATATACTTTATAAAACGATGTTGCCATTTTCATTTGAATATATCTATATACAGTATATAGTATACCCTCATTGGGGGCTGAGCCCCCTAAAATGAAAATCCTGGAATCGCCCCTGCTGTAGTTCTATACTTATTTTATTTTTCAAAAACTAGTAAAACATAATCATCAATATATATAAAATAAAATATATATCATATAATAAAATATATAACATAAAATATATATCATCAAACTAGAAGCATCTGTTCCAGAATGACCCTCAAAAACCCAATGTCCTAATCAAGCACAAAAACAAACAAAAAGAGGTTTTATTTTGGGAGGGAAATAACTATCTGCTTTCAAGATTTATGAATACATAAAAGAGTCTGACAGTCAAGAGCTCTTTGTGTGTTTGAGGAAGAGGAGAGAGATGTTAGGCCTAAATGAGATCCCTCCTATGTCATCTATCTATATTTGTGAGTGAAGGTGATAGAGTTGATTTATGCTGAAATGTCTTCTCAGTGTGATTCAGGCTCATGTACGACAAACAACATCACGAGCCCACTTCAACCAACAGTACAATGCATCAGGACTCACCTGGCTCAGAAACAGAGAAATCAAATACCTCTGGGACTCAAATATCTATGCGATTGTGTAATTTAATAACAGATTTTGGATGTATCATATACAAGGCAGCGTTTCCTTATCCAGTGTGGTATGAATACAATGAATATGATGATGTGATTTTTCCTTTCAGCTCTCAGAACTGGTTCTCAGTGCTCTGAATCAGAATCTGGTTCAGTTCACACTCAGACCAGGAGTCCAGATCACAGTATACGCTGCCCATTTATCAGCAGGTAATGAACTAGAATCAAAGACTATTGTTCTAGATATGAACGAGAGAAGAATTGCAATCGTTTACAACAGTTCATTGATTATGACAGATTTTAGATGAACAGTTCCTATAAGACATTGGTTGTATAATGATTTGTTTTACTGTATATTAAAAGGAGGGTTGGAGAGTTGCACTGACAGTTGTCTGTCTTAATTTCCCCTGTGTCTAGCGCCTTTAGTGGACACAAGTGACAATCACAGTGGCTCAGCTATGCTAATGCTCCTGTCTGTGGTGGTGGCGGGTTTAGCGGTGTTCCTCATCTATAAATTCAAAAGGTATTGTTATCCATTTTTTAAAACTTCAACCTGGATCATAATGCATATATTAGCAGTTAAAAATATGGTTAGCTTTGTAAATTGGTTAAATGTCTAGCGGCAAGAGCCTGGGGAAGCCTGGAAGATTACAAGTTATTTATAAAGTAGTCAAGACTCTGTACTGTTACTATCAAAAACCTACCTAGCCACATTGAATTGATTGATTGATTGATGATTGTTTTTTATTAATAAGGATAAATGTATATTTTTAAAGGAATAGTTCATCCAAAAATGAAAATTCTGTCATCATTGACTCACCCTCAAGTCGTTCCAAACCTGTACAAGTTTCTTTCTTCTGTTGAACACAAAAGAAGATATTCTGAAGAATATTGATGCTAGCCATTGACTTGCATAGTGTTTTTTTTTTCATACTAAGTCAATGGCTAGCATCAATAGTTTGGTTAACAACATTCTTCAAAATATCTTCTTTTGTGTTCAAAAGAAGAAAGAAACTCATACAGGTTTAGAATAACTTGAGGGTGAGTAAATGATGACAGAATTTTCATTTTGGGATGAACTATCCCTTTAAATATATAATTATGAGATTATTTGATTCAGATTAATCTTTTCAAACCGAACAGTATTATCAGCATTATGATAGAATTAAACGGCATTCGTTAACTGAATATAATCTGTTTAACTTTTTTGTAATTAATTTTCTAGTTAATATAATAATAAATATTACCAATTACTTTGAATATTGTGACAAAAAAGCAGAGCAGATGTCTGTGCAAGGACTCAAATGAGGCAAAATCATTCTCACATCTCTGAGTTTAGGTGTTGTGGTTCAGTTTAGCTCACAAAACAACTTTAAACAGCGTAAACCACTGAGCGGATATGTCGAGTGGTGATTCACCCTTTTGCCATTGCAGAACCTTCTTCTTTTGTGTCTAAGCGCTCATAACAAATGAGAAATGTCAGTCAATGCACAGACATTATCAATATTTAGCCCTTTGAGTTTTTCAAGTTGACCTTTATGAAATGTTAAATGATTGCACCGTTTCTGTCATTGGGCCGAGAGAAAAGGGCACGAGAGGTCAATAAGACAAGATCTGGAGACAGGAGAGGGAGACAACAGAAGTGCCAAGAATTTTCTGATGCTTTAATACATAAGTCTGAGGCATTCTGTGACAACTACAGCCGGCAACATTTCACTTCTTTAAAATACATGAGGAACTTCCTGTTAAAAAGTTAGTTTACACAAAATTAATAATGAAAATCTGTTCTTTTCAGTGAGTCAGTTCACACAACTAGTCTGAATTTGTTCATGAATGACCGGCACTGTTGTAAACTCTGAATATAAGTGAATTATGGCCTAAATAGTGTACACATGGTATGGACTACTTTTATGGTGCATTTGCATCGTTTTTGAAGCTCAAAAGCCTCATCTCCCATGAGGACTAATTGCAGTCGCAGTACAGTAAGCTCTGAAGAAAAGCATCTGCCAAATGCATAGAAGTGAATGGGTTTAGAGTGACATGAGTGTGAGTAAATGGTAACAGAATTTGTTTCTTTTTGTGAACCGGTCCATTAATGAGGGTATTACATCTTAATGAGCTGTCCATGTGTGTTGTGGTTTCTTCTTGTTAAATCCCTCTCCAGTTGTATTTAGCACAATAGATTTGCTTTCAAATCCTCTTAGGCAATGCCGTGTTAAAGCTCTCTTCTGGTTTTTGTTTTTGTGAATTTTTTCCCCTCCGTAATGATGCAGACCAAGACGGATAAAATCACCTCTCTAAAGGGAGGCCTTGATTTCACAACTCCTAAGTTAGACTTTTCACATAGAGGTCTTTTTTTGCTTATTTCCTTGTCTTTTTACAACTTTTCCCTGAGGCAGATCCCAGACCTCGGCTTGTAAATGGACAGTACCGCACTTGCAAACTATAAACACATGCTTCCTGTGATAAACGACCAGAATGATGTGAACTGCAAAGCTGATAATGTCAGAGCCATCAGAACGTTCGGAAAAATGGTAGAAGCTTGCATTATGAACCTTATCGGTTCGGCTCATGCATATTAATTAGGCAACGTTTGCCCAGTAGTCCTTGCTGAAAGATAAGTAGGAGACCGTTTAACACCAGTTTGTTTGTCTTAACGAGGTCAGAAAAAAAAGGCCATTAAATCTAAAGTTGCCGTTTTATGCTGTTGGCTACTATAAAAGTTATATTTATACTTTTATATACTACTGTTCAAAAGCTTTGGCTTGGTAAGATTTTAAAAATACATATTTTTTAAATCTCTTGTGTTCAACAAGGCTGCATTTATTTGATCATTGTGAAATATTATTTCAATTTAAAATAACTTTTCTATTTTAATGTATTATAAAATGATTTTTTATTAATTCATTTTTGTGGCAGTAAAGATGCATTTTCAGCATCATTACTCAAGTCAGTGTCACATGATCCTTCAGAAATCATAATGATATTCTGATTTTGTGCTCAAGAAACATTTCTTCTTATTAAAACATTTTGAAAACAGCTGTGCTGCTAAATTTACTGTGAAAACCACTATGCATTTTTTTCAGGATTCTTTGATGAATAGAAGGTTAAAATTAACAGAATTTATTTGCATTAATAAAAAAAAATCTCTTGTAGCATAAATGTCATTACGCTCTCTTGAATTAAAAAAAATCTACTGACCCCAAACTTTTAAAAGATATTTTAAATATTTAAATTATTAATTTAGTTGAAACTCTTAACTTATCACAATTATTTCCTAAAAGTGGGCAAGTTGAAGATGGACACTTGTCCCCATAAAGTTATTATGTTTGCTTATACCACTTGATAATATTGATTTTTTTTCCTCCCTCTGGCTGATTCCCCCAAGCATATGTCGTAGCATCAAGCTTTGTTTGCCCATGTCTCATTGTAAATCTTTCCTCAAGGAAGATCCCAGGCCTCCACGTCTATGCAGCGATGCAGGACGAAAAAGAGCAAGAAATGATCCAGAGTCCAGTTTCTCCCACTGACAGCACACCCAGCTGCAGTTCTCAGAGAGAACTGCTCACATCACTGGAGCCTCTGGACACAGAGCCCAACACTCAGACCATCGGTGAGTACTACACTGTCCATTCAACACTGAAGCGCTTCTTCTACTGAACTCACAGCTGTGATTCTTGGGAACAGCAGACACACTTTCCCTGTCACTCGGCTTAGTCGTGGCGTGTTAGCCAACTTCCTGTAAATGGCCTCAGCAGTTTTTGTTGGTATAGAGAGTCTTGTTGACTGCAGGGAAAAGCCCTGGTTGCTCGACTTATTGTCCCCTGATGACTCCTATAATAAATCAACAGAACAGCAAATGTCATGATGTATTTCAGCTTTCTAGGCTGCCGTGGGAATCACTGATACTCTCATATGGTTTGTTTGACATTTGGAAAGAAGACAATGTATTGATAAAGAAACAACAGTAAGAAAGTATATATATATATATATATATATATATATATATATATATATGTGTCTTGTGTTGTT